AGTGATTTTCCAAGTGGTCACAGAATATGAGATCCTGGTAATTTGGTAGGGTGATCTTGGAACACTGTGTCTATCAAGGTTTTCTTTGGTTATATTTCTTTCATTTTAATTTCATGACCAAGAGAGAATTTCTCCTTACTATACCTATCCAATATCATTCATGCGGACAAGTGATGAGGATAAAGAAAAATATCAATATATCAAGTATCAAGTCAAATATCAAAATATCAAGTACATTCGACTGACAACAACCTTTCACTTGACTCTGATGATGACTTCCGCTCAGGTTGTCGAAACGTCAGTCACCACTACCGACAACAGTCCTTCTCAGGACTACACTCACCCGGACGATCAAACTACACTATTAGGGGATTGTTAGTTGTTAAAATACCAAATTCTCTATACTAACAGCATAGGAATTGTATGATAGACAACTGGAAGAATTTGTAAAGAGATCTTGGCAATGAAAGGGTTAGATATATGACCTGCAGATGCATCTATCCTCATACAATGTTTTGGATCAGATACAAAACATTTAATACCCTCATTGGAAAGGCTGTGTTAAGGTGTTGTCAAGCTTGCTCCTTTGAAATATTTCACTTTGATCCTTGATGTCCATGCAATTTGTACATGCATGCACGTTTGGGAAAGATCTCTTCATAACCCTATACTGATCTAATTGTTTTGGTCATTGTTTTCTTTATCTAAGAACTGTATGTATAATGAGGTATGGAGCTGTGTGCAAATCTTACCAGTGTATGTAATATAATGGTGGAATTATCTGGATTGTGAATTAAAGTAACATGTTTGTTCTCATTTTACTGTTTTTCTCATAGTTTGGTCAGCAGTTCCGGCACTATGAATCAAATCTTCAGATCTTTAAGCTCGATCCATCCAGTGCTAACAAAACCTTAGCTGATTTGGTTATGTTTCTCAGCCAGGTAAAGTTTGTGCATAATGAATGCAAGCAAGTATATTTGTTGTGGGAGATATGGTAATCCAACAGTTAGTTTGCAGGACTCAGTTTAAACCCCTTAAGTTTGGTCCTATAATAAACTACTTACTTGCTTGTGTGGGCTGTACTGGGGAATGTGCTAAGTTTTGGAAGTCTTTAAACAGACCGTGCTGGGCTTGGTCTGTACTGCCTCAACCTCAGGCCAACATTCCCCAGTACAGCCCTCATGCTTTATTTATTTAATAAGAAGCTGATATTTACTTTGTGAAGTATTACTCTTGCATTTATACATATTTTGTTGTATTTTTAGGTTGCGCACTGCTACACATATGAACTGGAACATTTCCCTCAGGAACTTATTGATGTCTTGCAAAGACATCACAGTGTTATGGATGCTGAGCTCAGAATGGTACAGTAATTTTAATGTTTATTGGCATCAATGTATGATAGACATCATTTATACCTGATAATTTGGGACTGAGTAGCATAGGCTGATTTTATTTCTAGAAGTATCTCAAAGTTGTTTTGGTGATTTTGATTGGTACCTCTGATGACAAAGAAGGACAACTCACAATCAAAAACTCACCAACATGTCTAGCCAGCCTGTTTTGTAATGTGTGTTTCCATGTATGAAACATTTTTTGCAGACACTTTGTAGAGCTCTTATTCTCCTTCGAAACAAGAACTTACTGTCACCAACAAGGTAGAGGCAATTTGTTTAATACTTTAATTCCATTATATACCCCAAAATTGTATTAATTTTAATAATTCTCCATATCCCATTAAATAAGAAGACAAACCACACAGCCTCAAGTCCAAAATTTCTCCTAGTATCTGTTTGGAGCACTTTACCAGGTAGCTACAAGAGGGACCAGCATGGTGATTGGGGAGGTCCGCTAGTATTTATTTAAATTTTTGTGTAGTAGTCTTTTCATTAGTGCTTCCTGTTCCTACACTAAGTTCTAGAATTGTTCACAAATACAGTTTACATACAGAACCACTCAATTTTAGATGACAGTCCCTTGAAATTTGAGCTTCCAAACTTTATTCTTGTTTCTCTGGACTTCTGAGAATAAATGCTTGAGTTCTAAGGAATGGAAATCTCACATTTGAGTTGTACTGTATGCATGATCATAGTAGAAACCACACTGACTGTTCTTATACATGCCCTCTGTTGAAATTATTTTGACCATTTCAATTGACTACATTTTGATGTAGAGGAATTTATTCAACTGTGTAAACTAACTGGCACTGGAATTGAGGCTGCACTCTAACCCTCAACACCATAAGATCAGTGTGCATATTCTCCATACTGCTCTCAATACATTTCCTAAGATGCTAACATGGAGAATTTGTTTAATATCAAGAGCCTCTTTAGTTACTGATCATTTCATTTATTCTTGTGATGTTAGTGTGTGATTTTGGGGTGATGTTGTAAGGAGAAGTAGTAATATTATCGTCACCCTTAGGGGAAAGGGTTAAGAGAGCTAATCATAGATATTTTTTTTCCTATTCCTCAGTCTCCTAGAGCTCTTTTTTGCATTGTTCAGATGTAAAGATAAATTACTGAGGCAGGTGTTGTACAGTCACATTGTCTCAGACATCAAGAATATAAATGCCAAACACAAGAATAATAAAGTTAATAATGTGAGTAATAAATTGCTGTACATTAGTTAATGTATGAAATGTAGGTGAAACTTAGAATCATGGTCTTCTTTTGGAACTACAAAAATCAATAATGGTGATAATCATAGTAACAATAATTATTACCAGTAACAGATCCATTATAATTTACCTTTTGTCATGGTATTGGGCAGATTCATGAAATAACCTTTAGAACATTTTGACTTTGCATTGAATGACATTTAGTCTGACTTACTACCAGTAATGACTGATAGACTGACTAGCTAATGGACTGACTGACTGACTGACATACTGACTGACTGACATACTGACTGAATGACCGACTGACTGACTGATTGGCTGACTGATTGATGAACTGACGGATGGACTGACTGACTTACTGAATGACTGACTGATGGACTGAATGACAGACTGACTGATTGGCTGACTGACTGACCGACTGACAGATTAACTGACAGACTGACTGACTGACTGACCAATGGACTGACTGACTGACTGACCAATGGACTGACTGACCAACAGACTGACTGATGGACTGACTGACTGATGGACTGATGGACTGGCTGACTGACTGATTGGCTAACTGACTGACTGACTAGCTCACTAACTGACTGGGTGACAGACTGACTGACCAGCTGACTATCCAATAAGTAAAGGGGGTGGCAGAGTATACCTGGGTAATTAAGAATTATCAACTCAGTTGAAAATGTTAAGTGGCCACTGTAAAGAGTTTGAAAACTGACATTTTTAGCGTTAGCCCTTTGTGAGAGTGAATGACGACGGTCTAATGCTCAAAATGTCACCTTTAAAACTCTTTATGGTGGCCAATTTATGTTATCAACTCAGTTGTTAATACTTATTTATCCTGACTATCCAAAGGATTGGTTGGATATACTGAGTGAGTAACTACCCAACTGACTGACTGCTCACTTACATTTGTATTGACTGACTGACTAACTGAGTAAAGGATTGACAAAATGACTGACAGTTTGATGTGCTGATTGAATAATTGACTCTTTGACTGAATGACCACCTGACTGACTCAGATAGGCTTGGTTATTGATTCTATGGCTATTATAGGTAAGGGCTTAACCCAGTTTCTATAGCATGAAGTGACTAGGACTGTTACCACTCTCCCCTGGATGGGATGTTACTCCATCACATGGTTACCCCCTAGCATTTCATCAGGCTTCCCTTTCAGTTTGTCAGTGCCCATTTCTACTCCTGGGTGGAGAGAGGTACCATGCCCAGGAACAGCTTACAATGACCAGGCCAGGAATTGAACCCAGATCTCTTGACACAGAGTCCAAGGCCCAAAACCTCTTCCACTTGTGACTTGTGGGCTGACTGATTTCACCAAGTAATTGATTGGAACGGACTTGTTAATTAATTTATTCATCGACAAACTGATTGACCTAACAACTGATCAATTGATTAATGGTTTGATTTATTGATTAATCAGTCATATGTAATGACTTTCACCTTTCATTTTACTTCAGACTCTACAAAACTTCATGTACACAATGCTGCGAGACAGTAATGTCTTAGCTGCAAAGAAATCGTTGGATGTGATGGTGGAACTTTACAGAAAGAATGTTTGGAATGATGCAAAAACAGTCAATGTCATTACAACAGCTTGCTTTTCAACTGTTACAAAGGTAGTTACTTTATATGAATCAAATAAAAGGTTTTAGAATTGTTTAGTATTGAAAAAGCACCAATTTTAAGCTGTAAGCACTCAGCTCTTTGACCCCCTAAGAGAGACTTGCATCTAATTTCTCCTCACAATATCACCCTTGAATTAAGCATTCAGATCACAATAATAAAGGAAATGATCACCAAATAAAGAAGCTTTTGATTGTTAAACAAATTCTCCTTGTCAGCACCTTAGGAAATTTATAAGGAACAGTAGGGAGAATATGTACTCTGATGCTATGGTGATGCTCAAACAGTGATTTGCACTGATATTCCTCAAAGGAAATGCTGAAGAATAGTTTTTGGAGAAGAGTATTATGCTAATTCCAGAATAAAGAAAACGTACAGCAATGCAACTGTGGATTACTTGTGACACTCAATTGGAATTCCCTCTGTAAATCTTGCTTGGTGCAAATTCTTGTGCCGGTAAATTAGTCAGATTTGTGATTTATTTTTTTATTTTGGTGCCTTTAGATTGTGGTTGCAGCTCTGACATTTTTTCTCGGCAAAGATGAAGAAAATAAAGAGAAGGATGACAGTGACAGTGACCAAGAGGTAATGGTGCTTTCTCCATTAACCCTGTAAGTCCCCAGATCTGATTGTTAATTCTCCCTTCTAGCTGCAACACATCTTGTAAATTAGTTGCAAGAATTTGGTGTTGAATCAAGATAACAACTTCTGCCTGATTAGTTTGAGTATTCTTATTACCTGTGTGCAGGATAATGTATGGATATTTTTTCGGGAGAAGTTACATGCCAATCACTTCTGGGAGTTTAAGGGTTGAAGTACTGGGCCCAGTTGTTTGAAGGCCGATTAGCACTAACCCATGGTTAAATTTTAATCTGGGTTTCTTTGTTCCCTTATTCTAAAGCCTTTTGGGATAATGTCCTGTGTTCTTTTTAGAGCATCAAAGAGTCATATTATAGACAAAAATAATTCTACTGAATTTTCTTTTAAAGCTCCCAGATCTGAAATCAGATTTCACACTAACCTTGGGTTATCCTAACCTGGCTTTGAACAACCCGGCCGTGGTCTTTACTTATCACCTGGAGGGAGGGGAGGTGGGGTGTGCGCTCTGATACATTCCTATGACACCCCTCCTCATTGGCAGTTAATTTGCAGTCAGTTTTCTTTAGTTCCCTCCCCTTTATTCTCTGTTGGCGACGACTGATTTTTTCCCCCTCCCCGTTTCTCTTGAAGACCATGTGATTCCCTCCCTCCTCCCTCCCCCCCCAAAAAGCAATAATTAGATAAAAAATTCCTCGCCCTTCCAAGCAATAAAGAAATTCTAGTCGCTTTGGTACATGTACTAGATTTCTATTGCCATTCTTGGAATTGTAATGATAAATTACATATACTGTAGAAATTAATTATTTTGATTACATTTCATCAGTTGGACCAATCTGCTGTTCGAAGGATGCTCCATGCTGGTGGGGTGAACAAGAAAACGTTAAAAAAGAAACACAAAATTGAAAAAGCAATGGCAACGATAAAGGTAGTGACCAACATTTCTGTCTACACATATTTACGCAATCTTACAAAACTTAATCGCTAGCGATTTTTTCACTTTTAAAAATTACTACTGATTGCAAACGGAGAGCCTGTGTTCCTACCGGCCCATCTGCTGGGGAGGATTGAAGACTGGACCTGAAATAACGGCTGAGATCGAGCTCAGCCATGTACAGTCAAGGATGTTAGTTTATTTTAGAATAACATTACTCTCAAATCTGTTTTTCAGAAACAAAAGAAGAAACACAAAAATCCATCAGCGGTAAACTTTTCAGCTCTTCATCTCATTAATGACCCACAGGGTAAGACATACAACCACACAAATGAAAATGTATTTAACAATGTTAAAACTTTTCGCAAAGCTACTGCAAATCTTTTACCCTCAGTGTAAAGTGATCAGTTAGGAAATACAACTGAGCTAGGGTTCAATAACTTTTCCAGTGGCTGCCGATAGCGCGGTAGGCGACAGTGCCCGGAAAGGGACTGCAAGGCGAAACGCAAACACGAGACCCTGCTAGCGAGCTAAACAGAAGGCGGAGAGAAGTCTTACAGGCGGCAGTAGATGGCCGTGAACCGGCCGTTAACCCTTTAACCCCTAAGAGTGATTAGCATCTAATTTCTCCTTACAATTTCACCCCCAAATCACACATGAAGGTCACCAGAACAAAGGAAATAATCACCAACGAAAGAAGCTCTCGATTGTTAAGCAAATTCTCCTTATCAGCACCTTAGGAAATGTATTGAGAACAGAATGGAGAATATGCATACTGATGTTAAGGGTGTAAAGGGTTAATGATCTTGACATCTGTTTTGGCTTGATTTAACCACCAGAAGTTAAAAAAGTAAATAAATGAAAAATAAATAAACGAAATGAAATAATAATGGAAAGGGTGTTTGGCCATCCTTGTGGATAAAGGTCTCTTCCGGGTTTGCCATTGAATTGCTAAATGGAATTTGTGTCAAACAAAGCTTGATGAACATGTTATATAACCCACAGGTTTCAGCGAAAGGCTGTTTAAGCAGCTTGAATCATCAACGGAAAGATTTGAAGTGAAACTGATGATGATGGACTTGATATCAAGACTTGTTGGGATTCATCAGGTGAGTCGGACATGTTGTCCACAGGACTTAAACCAAACTGAACAATTTACACCATAAAGCATTTGAGTGTCAAAAGCGATTTGGATCGCAAAAGCAAAATGGATCGCTGTAGTTTTGCTTTTTATCGCTCTGTGATTGGTCTAGAAAATCCGTGCAGCTTTCTCAACCAGTCAGATGGATTGTTTTTTCTGTTCATCGCCCTCTGATTGTTCTAGAAAATTCGCGCCAACTTCTCAACCAATCAAAAAACTAAAACCAACCGCGCCTGTTGCTTTGAGTTCTTGGCTCCTGTGATAGCTTCCTCCGCTCTCGTTCGTCTTTGTGATTACCTTGGATTTGGTTGCCCAGACACTAAATCGAACCCCTTACGAAATGTTTGTCCTTTTACTCCTCAAGATTAAAAAAAATCCCTTTTCTACAACGTATATCGTAGTTTGCTTACATTTTTATCCAGCAGAATTTGGTGTAATATTAAAGAGTATCCCATAGTTAATATTTTCTTTTCTGTCATCGCGTTTTTGGTTAATTAATTGTCATTTTCACTCTTGTTTTCTGTCAGCTTTTTCTGTTCAATTTTTATCCTTTTGTCCAACGATATTTGCAGCCACATCAGCGAGGTAACTTGTGAAAACTTTGTTATTGTCTTCGATTAATATTTAGGGATTTTATCTTTGAATTTAAATAGAGCTAAAAATAAGAAAAAAAATGTCCTCTTTTCGGTTTTTGTCGCATAAAGCGACTAAAAGTATTGCAACTCCTCTTTTCCGTACCACGGAATAGTCAGGTCTTGAAGACCTCGGTGCTACACACGTCCCTGAAATGTTCCCCTCCCGCCTCACCTGTTTGCTGTTGCAGTTTCGCCATCTTCATGTTAACTGAGCGCTGATGAAATGGCCAACCACCCAGAACAAGATTTTGTGTCCTCTCGTCCTAATGAGTCCCTTTGGATATGCCTTTAGTGTCCAATTCCCCCCATGACTAATTGATCTACCTAATGAGTTGTATTCGGTATTCTTTAAATTATGCTGTCATTTTGTTTTCATGATATGTAGGTCTACATAAATACACGTTTATTTTGTAATTCAACAGAAGTGACCAAACTACTGACTTACTTTGCTCAGGCTTGTCATGATTTGGTTCCTCCTGAGGTTTGTTGTCACGAGCATTTAAACTTAGAGTTAGGTACCTTTACGAGAAAATAACGGTAAATAGAGGACGGCCCCTGTTGCATGTCTTTAGATATGCCGATTCTGATGATTTTTGTTTTATTTAATAATATCTAGAACGGAAGTTCGTTTTCCGGAACGTTTGCATCATGGCTAGAATCGATCCGATGCCCCCTACTGAGAGCAATATAATAGCGGAAAACTTGGAGACTGGTTTTATCGATGAAAAAGAATAATTATTCGTCAAAAATGGAAAATTAAAGAATACCTTAGCGCAAATGTTTGGGAGACAACCTTCCTTTTCCGTTTGAAACTAAAATAACTTTGGTCGAATTCACACATCCCAGCCAACACATTGATGGTTCATCTCTGTTCCCAACGTTTTCTCTTGGTAACTGAGATCAACGGGAAAACGTTTCATAAATTGATGTTTGTCGTTATCGATAGATAATTTAATCCCATGTTTATATCTTCATGGACTAATTTGGTTGGGAGGATGGCTTGCAATTCCAGACTGACCAAAATCTATCGATTAGTTTCAACCTTGATAAATCTAAATTACGTATGAAATTATATCGATTATCTGTGTTGCTACACCTCTAGGTGTGGATTATTTTTAAGATTAGTGTTTAATTACTTATCTATTTCATTATTCACATTCATGTTCGTCTTATAAGTAATTAATTACTTTTCTCTCATCCATGTATGCCCTTCTAAAGATTCATTTTCGAGATATTTATTTTCTATTATTACGTGTTTGCTTGTTCGTTTTCTTTTTTCAGGTTATCGAGTCAGGTTTAAAAGCGATTGTAAATAATTTTGTGACTGAAAGGAACTCTAACGAAGTAATGGCCGTTGGGTGAGTTTCTGTCGTGTGTCGCTGTGGTGACGATTTAGTTATTTTTTTATTGCAGGTTTTTGTTAATTGTTATGGGATTGTTTTCTCAAAGCAGTTGCGCTATCTAGGTTTGTTAAGAAGACATTTCATTGACAGACACGCGAAGTTTTCAAATTAACCACAAACTTCCACTCTAAAGAACTCACAAACTTCCTCTGACTGTTAATAACACGCTGCACTCTTCCATCTAGTTTGAACGCTGTCCGCGAAGTTTGTGCAAGATGTCCCTTAGTAATGACAGATGAGTTACTTCAAGATTTAGCGCAGTACAAGACATCTAAAGACAAAAGTAAGTTGTCCTACAAAACACGTTCCCTCTGCCCCCCTCTCTCTCTCCTGTCAGGGAAATCTCAAATGTTCCTTTGGCGATTTGAAACCAGATATCATTCAAATCATGGAGGACTGAGAAGGTTGAAGGTTTTTTTTTTTTTTTGGGGGGGGGGGGGAAATCACAGTCAGGAGAACAGAGGGGGAATCAGTCGTCGCCAACAGAGTATTCAGGTAAATTTTTACTGTGACACAACCAAAATCCTCCAACCCCTCCCCCCTCCAGGCGATAGATAGATTATCGTTCCAGTGATTCCTTGCGAACTGCTCTATTTTGTTTTTCATTATAAAATTGTGATAATGGATTTGGATTTGTTATTCACAGGTGTTATGATGGCAGCGCGATCGCTTATTCAGCTCTTTCGGTCCGTGAATCCAACTCTTCTTCACAAGAAAGACAGGGTAAGTAAAGAATTCTGTGCTTAACTTTTCAACTCCTACGAGTGACTGAAGTATAATTTCTTCTTACAATATCAGTAATGAATCAAACACGGAAGTCATGAGAAATAAAGAAATAATAATCGACCTAAGAAGCTCCTGATGGTTAACAAATGCTCCATGTCAGCACCATACTGACGCTGGGAAAACGCGTCGACCAAGTCGTGATTGGTTTTAGTTTTTCGTCCAATTGGTTGGGAGAGTGGCACGAGTTTTCTGGACCAATCACAGAGCCAAATGAAACAAAACCAATGCAATGCCGGATTACTTTCGACACTATTGAAAAGAGCTCTATCCAGCGGTGTATATCTGGGAAATTTGCTCATCTGTTTTTTTTTCGTGCTAAATAAGGGCAAACCAACAGAGGCAAGTAAAGAGATGACAGTGAAGCAGTATGGGGAGCTAAAAACAACAGACTTCGTTCCAGGGACAGAGGTAAATTGTTCGCGTAGATGAGATTACAGAATTTCGAAACCTGTGCACCATCCGTGGGATTGTGGTTTAATGTTACTGCGAAACCCTGTTGTCCTCTAACAGTGATCCTTGAGATACATGATAATTCAAAGACTTGGTATTTATTGTGATTATTTGACTACTCTGTAAGAGACAGAGGGATGTTTTGTCATCGACAGGGACTTGACTCGGTAGATGTTCACCTCACCCCACAAGCTTCACAAGTGGATAGCTTGAACGCAGCCACCCCTCCCACAATCTTCTAATGCCTGCTAAATTTTGTTCCTCTCAACCTCGTTTTGGGTTAAACTGACCTTCTCCCCAAATTCCCCCCTCCAATAGACCAAAAAGCTAAGATTTAACTTGTTATCGAGGATTGCCCCCAACCCTCCCTACCTCCCGTTATTTTCTTTGAGGGGAGGACACTGCACTGTTTTGTCACTCGATTGTCAGTCTGATCTCGCGACGTGAGTTGATGAATGATGTACGTAACAATTCAATACTTTAATTGCAACAGGTACTTGATGATGATCAGGATGAAGAGAAGCAAAACAATAACGAAAACCATGGTAAATTTGATTTCATTAGAGATCCAGCGTCACATCACTTGTTGTTCATTCTTCTTTTCAACAAAATTATTAGTGATGGAAAGGGGGAAGTCGTGGGAATGATAACCTCAGTTTCACTCCTAGAAATGTACTATTAAAACCAAAACAATAAGAAAAAAATTTATAAGGAAAAAAAAATAAGTAAAAAGGCTTTTTCGGTCTATGTATGGCATAGCTTATGTGATAGCTTTGGGTTCCCACAAACAGAGATGCAGAGGTCTAGATATATCTAACGCTGTTAGTGCTTTTACTAGCTAAAAGTAAATGTATACACTATAAAACTACAACGGCGAGAGTTTTTTCCCCTAGACGGGTGGGAGAGTGACGAAGATGTTGACGACGATGGTGAATGGGTGGATATTTATCATTCATCGGACGAAGAGGAAGAGGTGCAGTTTGTCTATTTTAGATTTGTTGGTTTGAATGTTTGCTTTTAGTTGACCTGCACTTTTATGTTGTTACTTTTCATAAAAGTTCAAAGCGAAACTAATTTTGGAGTACTAGAATAACTTACTGGAGATGCATTCCTGTTTTAAAGAGTTTTATACACTGCGCTTGGTTAGTTTATGTTGTAGTGCACCGGACTGCCGTGCGGCAGGTCGAGGGTTTAAGTGCCAGACCGGACCAACACTCAGGGTCTTAAAATAACTGAGGAAAAATTTGCTATTTTTGCTATAACATCCGCAAATGGTTGGACATTTCAGTCCCTTCGGGTAAGGAAAAACTGTAGGTCACGTCTCTTACATCTTCTCTGTACTGGTTAGCAGGGGACGTTAAAGAACCCTCACACTTCTCGCAAAGAGTAGGGAACTTAGCCTACGGTGTTGTGATCTGGTCTTGTTATTGTTTATACAGGTCCCCATGGTAACCAGCTTTAAAAGCTGAACGGGGCCAGCCTGTCTCAATATCGCAAATAAATAAATTCACTCAGATGGTAGTATATTGTACCTACAGTAAAGAAAAACAAGAAACTAAATTGATACAACAGGATTAGCATTAATGACGTCCAAATAGTGGTCATTAATTCTTTCTAACTGATACAAGATATGATGTTGAATAAGTTTGTTAATGTTCAAGCGCTTTACGGTTGAGTGTCGTAAAATCAAAACATAAGTAATCACAACGACCAATCAAAAGAAAGGAAAATACCTTTAAGAACCAATGAGAATCAAAGTAACCACAAGCAAACTGCCTAAAGCGCGGGAAAACGCGGGCGACCAAGACGAAATCGATCTTAGTTTTGCGTCTGATTGGTTGAGAGAGTGGCGCAAATTTTCTGGACCAATCACAAAGCAGCGTAAACCAAAACCACTGCAATCACGGATTACAGTACCATAAACACTCGATTGGAAATAGCCCTGTCAGGGTCAAAATTTCACTCGTAGAAACATGTTAAGGTAATGATCTTTGATGCTCAGTTGGCACCCTGTAAATAAAAGATGTTTTGTCTTTAATCAATTTGAACAGAATGAGCTGCAGGATGAGGAAGGGGAAGAAAGCAACGAAGAGAATGAAGGAGAAGATGAAAGCGAAGACTTGAAAACCAAGGCAGCAAGAATAAGCCAGTCAAGAGTAAGAAATATTGTTCGCTTCTTGCGTTTTTCAGTTATTTCTCCTCAATTTTCCTTTTTTTTTTCAAAGCGCTATTGCGGAGTATAACTGTATTATAAGTTAACACCGCTTCAAAGGCTGGTAGACATTACCAGCAGATAAAATAAAAATTTTTGCTGACATCGTGCTTAAATCAGCCAAGACTTCATTTGTATTTCGAAATGGCGACTCGAGCCTGTGACGCTCATGATTCAGTCAATATTATTAATGTAAATATCATCACTTTTTTGCTGCTTAAATAGACTTGTTCAGTTATTCTTGATAACTCCACAGGCCTCCACAGCCAAAGAGGTGCCCGATAGTCATTAGCAGAGACTTTGTCATGATATAGAGCCTCTTATATCAAATAAAGGATTTATTTGTTTGTTTGCTCGTTTTTATTTGTGGCTTTTATTTCACCAAGCATATCTATTGTTTACCCTTTTTCTGTAGTTTCTCACAGATGACGACTTCAAGAAAATCAAGATGCGTGAAATCGCACGTCAGATTGACCCCAAAGCGGGTAAGAAGCGAAAGAGGACTTCAGACACCACTGAGCCAGCTGAAAGGTTAGTATTTCTCTGTGAATAATAAAATATCTATGAGCTGTGGAGACGACAGTTTAATGTATATTGGGGTGGTAACAAAAAACATCTGGCACACTCATTTTTGTGGCTACTACCTCTTATAGGAGGCAAAGTTACATATTTCGTCGAGATGAGTGAGTGAGTGAGTGAGTGTCACAACAGAATTACGATCTAGACCCAATTTTGACCCGATGTTCCCGGGGCTACTTATTGTTTGTTTCAGAGTATCTTAGTAGTTCGGACATTCGCACTTAATACACAGGCTAAATCTGCAGAATACCTGTATTGCTTTGAGTTGGAAGTCTCGAGTTTCCCTTTTCCCTTGCGTTGTTTCTTTTACAGATTTCTATGAACTTTTCAACTATCTTGCAAGACCACAGTTGTTTCTTATGTTTTCCTTGAAAATTTTGCGCGGGAAAGAAGCGCATGCTCGACGTTTGACCGCTGTGCCATGCGCTGGTTTATTTACCAACTCATTTCCTTTCATGTGTAATTCTATTCGCCTGTATTTTAGGTTTGTTGGTTTGACTATTTGGGTGCTTTTATATTCTTTAGCTCATTTATTTGTTTGTTTTCACCTCTTTTCACAGAAACGAACTTATTTCCGTGGGAGACATCGAAAATATTCACAAGAAGAGGAAACACGATAAAGAATCCAGACTCGAGACCGTGATTGTAAGTAGTCAGGAACTAACGGTAGATCAATACTGTTATTCTCTTCTGTGTTCTCCTTACATTTCCTATGGTACTGACTAAGAGAATTTGTTTGACAATCAGGGGCTTCTTGTAACTGATGATCATTTCCTTTATTCTTGAGACCTCTATATTTCATTCAACGGTAATATTTTAAGGAGAATTTGAAGTCAGTCTTTCGTATGGAATGAAGTGTTAAAGAATTAAACGCAATGCCAGTATGATCCGAACTTTAGCCACTTATTCGAGAGGTCTGGCCCCGTTTGTTCATAGGTTGTATAACGCTATCCTTTGGATAAATCACTATCCGGTGGATAGCGCAGTACGGTTTCTTAATAGTTATCCTCTGGATAGCGATTTATCTGTTGGATAGCGTTATCCACTCTTCGCACAAGTGGGCTCTAGTTTTACTTTTATTCGACACAAATGACGCTGAAGGCGTATTTAAGTGAAAATTTATCTTGTTCGACCTTTAAATATGGTGTGACAAATTTAGCTCTACAGGTAAATTGCAAGTTAAGAAAAAGGCCATCGAAAAGCTATAGGTCAATATTAGAAAAACTTAACCGTTGTCCAGGGAAAAAATGGTTCGATTCTCGTCAAGAGCCACAATTTTGTCAAGTTTCGATGTCGTCTAGGACCAATCATAATTATTGCTAAAGGGTAAGGGAATATGTGATTCGTTACCAACGAATGTGTCTTCATATAGACTGTAGATGAGGCAACTTTAAACCACCGGCTTTTAACGTTTTCGTAGCCATTCCATACAGAATCATACATCATTTTACTGCATTGTTTTAAAGTATCTTCGGAAAAAATTTTTATTGAATCCTTCTCACTAATTGAGTTGAAGGTCCACACTGTAAATTAGGGACCGTGTCTTTTCTTTTCCACTCGGACTTATGGCCTAAGCACCAAGCGCGTGGGTCACAAATGTGAGCGGCAAAAAACTGAATCGGTTCCGTGACTTACAGTACGACCCAAGAAAACGAGGTTTGTAACTGAAGATATTGATCATATCTGAGGGTTCAAATAGAAGGGGAAGATTCCAATTCAACCAATTTTTGAATATAGCAGGCCGCACAGTGAAATACGTGTCGCTAAATTGACCAGTTATAGCTTACGTACCGACTGAGAAGTAAAATATGCAAGTTTTGGAATGACAAACGTTTTGAATACCTGAACTTTGGCAATGATCGTTAGATGCGCTTATTTCCAAAGAAACAAGAACCCCGAAATCACTCAAGTTGACTTAAAGAACACCAACTGATAAAGGTCAAACATGACGTAAATGGCGATCGGAAAACGGTCGAGGGAATTTTTTCACCGTCTGCTTTCAGCCGTCAGTGCACACGGACTAAAATATCTGCATTAGTTGTCGACTACTAGGGGTTTGAATCAGGGTTTGTTTAATGATAAAGGCAAAATATGCACCCTAGGGGCTATTTTTGGCGTTTGTCGTTGTCTCTAACAAGATGTTTAAATTCACTGATCTCTATTTCCGTTTCGAATTTCACTTGTGGTCTCAGTCGGCGACTTGCTCGTTTTTGTAATTGTCGTTTGTAGATTTGTTGTTTCAAACAGGGTGATGTGTTAAATATTAACGCTTTTTTTTTTTGTTATTCTCTAAACGTGCAGCATGAAGGCTTTTATTCTTCACAGCGGCACAGTTTGCACAGGAAATTGCAGACATTGCTTCACGGTAGTACGTGTGCTATCTCTGTCCATCTTTGCACAATACTCTTTGGAAGTCACGATTTGTTTTTAATTAAGGAAATCGCAGTGGTTCCTTTTCATAAGCGGAATCTTGAGCGCTGTGCTAAACTGCTGGTAGAAGTTGCTTTCCTGTGTTAAGAGTTCCTTTGCATGCTCCGCCGCTGGTAACCCGATTAAGGCGTGTTCTAATCCTGCCTGATAGTATGGCTTACAACTTCCTTTGTGTCTCTTTACATGAGATGAAGCTCACATGGTGGGCGCGCGCGCGATAACGCGTGTGGAAACGCATGCCGCACTCGTAATACGCGCGCGGAGGTGATTGCATTGTTTGGTGATGTTAGGCAGGAGCCCATTACTTGGGCTCCTGTGTTACGTAATTATCTTTGATTATGAGTAACATATCCCTCTGAAATTTCTAGCTAAATTTTGAAAAAGAAAAATTGTTCTCCACGGGAACTCTTGCTTTCGTTTGCCGTAGCCCCCCATGTTGCAATTAGATCCATTCAGCTCTTGAAAAGAGTCTTTCTTGTCCAAGTCGTGATTTTCTTGTGATTATCTTGTGCTTATCCGCCGTTTATCGTCAGTTGTGCCCGTTTTTTAGTTTAGAAACTTATCATGTGGAATTTTTATTGCCCGATGAATTCGAATTTTCCACGATTTGCCGCTTGCCGTTGATTTGCGATTAAGACATTCACGAAGTAAACAGGAACAGGTCATAAGTACTGAGCGGTAGCAGAAGTATTCTCCTGCTCTGCTAAAACGGAACTCGTGGAGTTGTAGTAACCGGGACGTGTTTCAAAAGGTGAAGTGTAGCGTGACTCGTTTCCCGTCATCAATAAATACCTGCGGGCTTGAAATTAGCATTTTCTCCGCCACCCTCTCTCGGCACCTAACCTACCCTTATACCAAGAAAAACATGAAGGAAGTAAACAGGAACTATAAGAGGGCACTCTTTTAGAAAAATGGTACACGAAAGGATTAACTTTCAGTCAAAAGTGGAAAATAACTGGGAAAAGGTTGGACCCCTGGGCGGAAACCCCTCTTTCT